CTCAATTACTTAAATATTAATAAAATCTGATGGCAGTTTCCTAAGCACCAACCAGGAGTTGTCTGCTGTAAAAATAACTTTCTTTGAAAAAAACAATTATTTTTCTAGTTATAAAAAGTAACACTTATTGAAAGAAAAATGGAAATTATGGAGAAATAGAAATGAAAAGTATCAGTATTTCCACATCATTCTAGATGTAGCCTTGTCTTGGCTAACGCTGTAACCAGTCAATAAATAGTTGTGTTCCTGGAAATGCAACAGATGTGTTTGGGTGCCTATGATGTCATTAAATTCATATAACAATGTTATGACATTACGGTGCTCGTCCCCTGCATTTTATAGGTAGGGAAACATATTGAGCATGGTTGAATGGGCTGGCTCCAGTCACTGAGCTGATGAGTAGGGGCAGGAGGGCCGGAGATGGTTTTTAAGACCTCCAAGCAGTGCTCTATCCGGTCACACAAGAACAAGGCAGCCTTGCGTTGAACTTTCTTCACGCTGCCTTTGGTTCTGAAGAGGACAGTTAGGCTTCTACAGGGTAAGTAATTGCTTTTAACTGATCTTCAAGCAGTAGGATTAGCAATGAAAGCTTCATTATTAAGTTATCATGAACAAAGTTCCTTGCTATTAGATAAATGTCTTATCTTTGAACAAATAACATATGTGAAGTTCAGTAATATTAGTTTATGACTGTTCATAGGGCTTTATGTCTTGGGTAGGGTTTTTCTTTTTAAATTTTTTTAGAGCTGTTTTAAGTTCACAGCAAAACTGAGCAGAGATTTCCCGTGTATCCTTGCCTAGTGTAGATTTTTAAATCTCTTTATGTTATGCCTCCCCCACTGCAGTAATTTTATGATCATAAGTTTCTTCAACTCAGTGATTCTTTCAGAGGGCTGTCTTTCCATAAATAGCTCTTAGAAAAGAAGATTCCCACTCTAAATTGTCCAAGAAGTTTTTATATAAGAAGTTCAAGGCCAGTATTTAAGCATCCTGCAATTAAATCCACAAAAAGTAGAGCCAGATGTGGTGGTGCACACCTGTAATCCCAGCACTTGGGAAGCTGAGGCAGGAGGTTCACTGTGAATTTGAGGCCAGCCTGGGCTACATAGTGAGTTCAAGGCCAACCTGGATTATACAGTGATACCCTGTCTCCAAAAACAAACAAAACAAAACAAATCTCTGATGGCTCACTGTCCCCTGGAGGAGGGAGAACAAGCTCTTAGAGCTCTGGAGGCTTCTGTGAGGCCAGGATCAGGGTGTAGCATGATGTGGCTCTTGGGAGGGCCTCTTACTGGTAATGGCCTCACATGGCCTTTGCTTGGTGTGCAAACATGTGAGCATGTGCGTGCACACACACAGAATGAGATGGGATTGAACTCGGGAGCTTGTGCTTGTGAGGCAGGCGCTGGAACCACTGAGCTAAATCCTTGGCCCTAAAAATGTTTTTTTATTAGTCCCTATTTTATAAAATATTGGTTTTCAATGTGATATTTTCATACATGTGCATAACATTTTGATCATATTCACCCTCCTAATTACCTTCTCTCACTCACCACTCTCTACTGCATTCTCTTCCTCTTGTCTAATAATAGTCAAGGAAATAAAATTTCTTCCTCATAGAGAATTGAATGCCTGTGCTCCCCTCAGTTCTTATGTTGAACCCCCAACCCCCAATGTGATGGTATTTTCCAGACAATTAGGTTAAGGTAAGATCATCAGTGTGGAGCCTCCTTGTTGGAATTAATAGCCTTATAAAAAGACCAAGACACATGAAATCTCCATCTCATTCTGTGTGTGTGCATGCACATGCTCACATGTTTGCATACCAAGCAAAGGCCATGTGAGGCCATTACCAGTAAGAGGCCCTCCCAAGAGCCACACCATGCTACACCCTGATCCTGGCCTCACAGAAGCCTCCAGAGCTCTAAGAAGCAAAGTCACAGTGTTTTGTCACAGCAGCCCAAGTGCACTAGGACAGAGGGTCTGCAGTGACTTGTGTGGCTAAGAAGAGCAGCCCAGCAAGAGCCCAGGGCCACCCTGCGGGCAGCTCCCTCAGTGTGTGGAGCCACAGCTACTGGCCAGGGAAGGGGTGCAGGGCAGAGCTGAGAAGCTTCATGCCATGCACATCCAGCTTGTCCAGTGTCTCCTGGGGAGGAAAGGCAAACATGAGCTACATGCTGTTACACCCGGGCACAGCAATAGGGGTGTTGGCGCAGGGAGCCTGAGATGAACTCTGAAGGGCAGTCCCAGATCCTCCCGGAAGAAAGAGTGCAGATGAGAATTCAGGATGTTAATACAAATGACTTAAGCCAGTGTATGGTACTGGAGAAAGGGCTCGTGGTAGGTGTTAATACTGCTTTCTCCCTGGACTTGCTGGGGTGCCGCCACAGGACCCCGTGCATGGGCCCCACCGTTTCATTGCCTCTTGGGTCAAATAGTCTCTTTTGTGGTCTGACCCAAACCTAATCTCCATTTCTACTGATAATGTTCTGTTTAGAGAGAGATGTTTTCCAGGTTTCCTTCAAACTAACCTACAACCAAATTTTTGAAATACTAACCTTTAATAAATATAAAACTATCTTGAGGGTGGCTAAGATTGTTTTTGCTTGTTATAATTACCACCTGCCCACTTCTCACTTAAAGCAACTTTATTTTCATTATAAAAGGACTACTTATAAAACTATGTATGTATCATATACATATATATAGCTATATATGTATTAGTTTCTTTTCTGTTGCAATAACAAAATACCTGGACTTTATAGAGTATTTTAGAAAGAGCAGAGATTTCTGTAGCTCACTGTTCTGGTGGTTCAAGGGCATGGAAACTAAGGCCGTGGCCCTGGAATAGGTGTGGCTTTTGGCGGGGACCGCATGGTAGATGGCCTCACAGTGGTGGTGGTGGTGTGTGTGTGTGTGTGTGTGAGGGCCTGGATTCCATGGCAGGCAGCATGCTGGAGGGGAGGAAGGGTCAGCCCAGTCCCTTCCCTTTTTCTGGTGCAGGTGCATGCTAGGCTAGAGCTCCACAACAAGCTGCAGCCCAGCCCTGAGCCCACTGTTTTAAAACAGCCCTCTGTCAAGAATGAACTCAGAATCCCACAGAAACTGCCTGAATCCCTTCCTGATGCCCTAAGCAATTCCAGCTAGGCCTGATATCTTAAGGATCCTACCACTTCTCAACATCACCACACTGGGGACTGTTTCCAGCCCATGGGCCTTTGGGGAGCTAAGCCACATCCAACCTATAGAAATATGTAATATAAATATAAAAGTATCTAGGTGTAATATAAAACTGTTATTAAAATCTGTAAAGAGTTGGGCACAGGGGCAGCTGCCTGTAGTTCCAGTTACTTGGGAGCTTAAAGCAGGATTGCTTGGGCCTAGGCAACATTAATGAGATCCTGCCTCCAAAAAAAAGAGAAAGAAATCAAAAGAAAAAATCCACTTCTAATTTATTTCTACTCACAATTATTGTCCACTTTTTTTTTTTTTTTTGTTCTAGGGATTGAACTCAGGACCTTGTGCTTGTGAGGTAGGCAGCGGCACCACTGAGCTAAATCCCTGGCCCTATTGTCCCCTTTTGGGTTTATTTTTTCTAGACTTCTCTTAATTCTATATCTTTAGTTGTAATTATAGCACACTTCCTGTTTTCCTCATCTAATATGTAATTAATTGTGTTTGCATGTTATTACTTAGCATAGAATATATTTTGGTCTCCATTTTACTCATTTGATTGATGATATATTTGACTAGGGAAACTATTTGAGCCCTGGTATTAGCATTTTCTGCATTTTTCTGATACATATTTAGAATTTGAGGAGCTGCTTGCCTTGGCCTATACAGAGAGGTTGTCAGGATGTTGCTGGCTGTGGCATGGAGGCCTTGCCAAGTGGTCTTCACCACCCAGTGGATTGACTGTGGTCTGGGTTGGGCCCTCATCTAGGTGGCCTTAAAAACTGAATTTTTGTCAGTTAGCAATGACAATAACTAATGGCATAGGCAATTCTTAGAGGTGAATTCATATTATCCCTCCTTGTCCTGTTGAAGCATGAAATCAAAATGGCAGTTTTTCAACTGACACTGTCAAACAGCACAATAAAATAGTGGTCCAGGAAGCCACTAGTGTGGCCATCCATAAACTCGGCTCTTTAAGGTAAAGTAACCAGTAATGGTGAAGTCCATCATTTAGTAGGCATGTGCTGTGTGTCAGAAGGTAGGCCCACACTTCATATATCAGTGTGGTAGGCACAGTCCCACAGGAACTTCTTCAGGTCGGTACTGTTTCTGTCCCCATTTTACAGATGAGAAGCTAAAGCTTACTTAAGTGAGTGCCCCAAAGTTATGTGGCTGATAAAAGATGGAGCTATAGTTTCTATCTAATACAAACACCTGATCTTAAACACAGCTCTGTAGTTTCATTTTTCTCATAGATTAGTGACTAGCTCTGTTGGGACTGTCTTGTGTTACTTGCCCTCACGCTGCCCCTGTCCACCCTCAGGATGTGGCCTGTGGCAGGCCATCATTAGCAATAGACCTTTCATTCCCTTTTGTCAAGGACCTTGTTTTTCTGGCACTTACAGGGAGAAGAGCTTGGTCTTTTCCTTTATTTTCTCTTTGGATCCAAATATGCTTTTGTAACAAGGGTCACATTTTGTTAACTTTCTCTTTAAGCTGCTCAGGAAGGAGCAACTGAGGCAGAGAGCCATTGGGGCTGCAATTCAGGCTGTGGCTAGCTCAGACATGAAGGCGGTTTCCTGTTTCTCCTTCTCTCTTTTGCTGTTTTGTTCTGTGTGGCACCTGGAAGTGGCATCCATCATCCAGAGAGAGCTGCTGTGCCATGGAGGTGGCTGGGGAACAGGTGAAATCTCTGGTTTCTGATGTCTACACCCTAAGTGGGAAAGCTGCCCTTCCTCTTAGCGAAGGTTTTCAGTTTGTGCTGAAACAAATCAGTTCCTGACAGGATTTCTGTTCTAAAGAAGTCTTTTGTGATTGCCTTTTAGAGAATATTGGAGCAGAACGACTGGACAGGAGCAAGCGCTGCACCTTCAGGTGTCATCAAGTTTGTGGTTGTGCCAGTAAAGTTTAACCTGAAGCCTCCTTGCCTACATACTCACAGAATGAAAGACATGAGCTTCAACCTGCTTTTCCACCTTTCCTACAAGTTCCGCCTGCTGTTGCTTTTTACCTTGTGCCTGACAGTGGTTGGGTGGGCCACCAGTAACTACTTCGTGGGTGCTATTCAAGAGATTCCCAAAGCAAAAGACTTTGTGGCTGGTTCCAAGAAGGTTGTAGCTTTGGGGAAAGAGGAAACGCCTACCAGTGAAGCATCCATGAAAAAAGCAGAGCTTGACAATTGTCCTTCAGTGTCTCCAAACCTCAGTAAGTGGTTTTCTTCTTTTTTAAATCTATTAAAAGTACTATTTAAACTTTTTATTTAACACAGGTAACAAAATCTGAAGTGTGCCCACCTGGGTCACCAGCATGTAAATTAAGAAAGAGAATCTTACTAGAGCCCCCCAAATCCCCAAGCTTCTTTCAGTCACTACCCAGGCTTCAAGACTCTACCACTGATCATTAGATTCTTTCCTGTTTTTGGTGATACTGGGGATTGAACCCAAGTCTTCTGCCCTGAGCTACATCCTCAGCCCTTTTTTATTTTTAAATTTGAGACAGGGTCTTGCTGAGTCACCAAGTTGCCCAGGCTGGGCTTGAGCTGGACCTCCTCTTGCCTCGGCCTGAGATTATGTGCCACCATGCCCAGCTCCATTTTTCCTGTGTTTAACCTTACAAACTGGAAGCGTACGTTCTGTACACTTGTGCTTGGCTTCTCTGGTTAAGCATGATTCTTGTTATATCTCTGGAGTGCAGTTTTACTTTGCTCAGTCTCACTGAAGTATGATATACCATTATGTAAACATACCCAGTTTTATTATCTGGTCACTAGAATCCCAGCAGCATACAACAATAGGGCCCATTGATTTACCTGTGGCTCGATTTCAAGTGTTTCCATCCTCCTAGGAATAGTGGGCTTGCTTTTTCAAGGCTTGGCAAGTGGAGAAATGCAAGCACACTCAGGCTGCTGGCATCTTCTTGTCCAGAAGTATGGTGTCAGAGGCAGTGCTAAGTTTTTAAATGCCATCGTCAGTGTTTGTTTCTTAAATATCCCATGTGTTTTGATTCCCCTTTGATGTCTTTCCTTTCAACTTTAATTCATAATAAATTTCTTTTAGTGAACACAATACATTTGGGAGGAAAAGACCCCACTCTGTGCTATTTCTCACGTGTCTTCCTTCTTTAGAACGTCAGAGTGCTTGTCCTTCTCCATACTCTCCTTGAGCCTGACTTGTACTGACCCCTCTTTCCAGAATCCCTTTCCTCAATCCATGTCTGCCTGGTGGATTCATGCTTTGTCATCAGAAGTGTAGCTAAGATCTCCTGGGAGGATCTGGGACTGCCCTTCAGAGTTCATCTCAGGCTCCCTGCGCCAACACCCCTATTGCTGTGCCCAGGTGTATCAGCATGTGGCTCATGTTTGCCTTTCCTCCCCAGGAGACACTGGACAAGCTGGATGTGCATGGTATGAAGCTTCTCAGCTCTGCCCTGCACCCCTTCCCTGGCCAGCAGCTGTGGCTCCACACACTGAGGGAGCTGCCCGCAGGGTGGCCCTGGGCTCTTGCTGGGCTGCTCTTCTTAGCCACACAAGTCACTGCAGACCCTCTGTCCTAGTGCACTTGGGCTGCTGTGACAAAACACTGTGACTTTGCTTCTTAGAGCTCTGGAGGCTTCTGTGAGGCCAGGATCAGGGTGTAGCACGGTGTGGCTCTTGGGAGGGCCTCTTACTGGTAATGGCCTCACATGGCCTTTGCTTGGTATGCAAACATGTGAGCATGTGCATGCACAAACACAGAATGAGATGGAGATTTCATGTGTCTTGGTCTTTTTATAAGGCTATTAATTCCAACAAGGAGGCTCCACACTGATGATCTTACCTTAACCTAATTGTCTGGAAAATACCATCACATTAGGGGTTGGGGGTTCAACATATGAATTGAGGGGGGCACAGGCCTTCAGTCCATGCATCCTCCTTCCCAAATGAATCACAATCTCGTACTGTATTCATCTCGGCATGTTGCTTCCCTCTAGTCAGTCATGAAAAAGCCAAAGCATTATTCTTGAGTGTATATTCCACTTACAAGTTATACAAGTCAAGATGTGAAAATGTGTCATTATATGTAAACTGATTACATGATCCCCCTTGCTCAAAATGTTCACAATATATTTAAACAGTAAATTCTTCCATAAAGAATAGATGGAGCTGGGTATGGTGGCATATGCCTGTAATCTCGGCACTCTGAGAGGCTGAGGCAGGAGGATCACAAATTTGAGCCCAGCATGGAAAAATTAGAGACTTAGCAAGGCCTTGTCTCCAAAGAAAGTGTGGAGAGGGACTGGGGATGTAGTTCAGTGCAAAAGCCTGGGTTCAATCCCCAGTTACCCCCCTCCCCCAAATGGAATGGATAGGTGGGGATAATTCTGAGCACACACTGAATTAAGAATATGACATAAATGGTGATAGCTTAAGGTAGGTAGGTCATTGGCAACATGGTGAGGTTAATGATGAATTTTGTTATCTGGCCACACAGGAAGCCATCTTAAAGTCCACCCCTCATTCCTTGGCCACTCAGTAGCCTGGCAGCAGCTCTTGTAGCATTTCTTGCATGTAATTCCATTTCCTATTGTTTGTTCTCAGGGTTTGACTACTGGCTTCATGTCTTGCACACAGATGTTCAGAAATGCTCTCATACACTGGCTGTTCTCACAGATGGCTGGACATGATTACTTACTCTTGGTGCTGTTGGGTCCTGGAGCCTGATTTAACTATGGCCAGATTAGGGATTGTCGCAGGTAGCAAGGAATGACTTATGTGTAGGAAGGCCTGTGACTGCTTTGCTTGGAAGGGGATAGCACAATTTGCAAGCAGCTTGAGGCTTTACAGTCTGACCAGTATATGTGGAGTTAAAAAAAAAAGCATGTGTGGGAAGAAATGCTCAATTCCCTAACAAAACTCTCTCCCTCCTCGCTTATCAGTTAGTACATACCATTCATTCGCATCGCAAGAGGAGGGCCAGTTACTTCAGCCTGATATTTGAAGCCTTGCACAGGATTGGGTAGCATGATGGTCTTGGGTTTCATCTGGTCAGGCTGCTTCCAGACTCATTGAGCAAATGCTGTACCTGGGAATGTCTGCCACGCTGGCACAATGGGAGACTTAATGCTGTGCTGTATATACCTGCCAGTGCAAGGTTAAAGAGGGGGCTGGCTTCTGCTTCTATTTCCGTCTTAGGCTTTGCCTTCAGAGCCTTGTTCAGGTGCTTGATTCCATGAATGCTCTTGACTTTTAAGAGATTATACCCTCTTCTGGAATTTTGAGAAAAAATGAGGGTAGAGCAAATTTGAGGAGTGTCTTGCTCTAGGGCTAATCTCTACTAGGCACCAGGACCACCAGGACATCTATTTTCTACTTATGGATGGTTTATTGTAGGGGGCCAGAGCAAGCTCATTTTCAAACCAGACCTCACACTGGAAGAAGTACAGGCAGAAAATCCCACAGTCTACAGAGGCCGGTATCACCCTGAGGAATGTAAGGCTTTGCAACGGGTTGCCATCCTCATTCCCCACCGGAATAGAGAGAAACATCTGATGTACCTGCTAGAACATCTGCACCCCTTCCTGCAGAGGCAGCAGCTGGAGTATGGCATCTACGTCATCCACCAGGTGAGTGCAGAGCAGCCCTGAGGCCCTGCGCTGACCCCTCCCTCTGAGGGGCCAGGTCACATGACCCTTTGTCTATCTTATATAAAAGGTACCTCAACCTGTCATTGAAGAAAAAGTTCTGTTAACCTTACTTATCCTTGGAAGGAACAGAGGAAATTCTTGTCCCAGAGGATGGAGTCATGGAACCAAGTTCTGGTAAATTTTATCACCCTACAATGAGCCTCAGGAAGAAGTCTGGTTTTGAAGCCCTTCTGTGTTAGCCAATGTTGCCCTAAGATTGCCCATGAGATCTACTAGCCACCCCCCCACACCTTTTTTGGTACCAGGGATTAAACTCAGGACTTTGTGCTCTCGAGGCAGGTGGCAGCACCACTGAGCTAAATCCCCAGCCCTCTACTAGCCCCTCTTGATGCTTCCTTCTGCACTTGCTATTTGCTACTGAATGAGCTGTTGGACTTGATTCTCATTACTGAGTGTAGGTGTTTAGTGGAGATCTAGACAGGATTTGCAGAGTACAGAGTGTTAGTAGCCACTGGGTTCTGTGACTCTCTTCACATTTCTGCCTTTAATTTTGCTGCTATGAATTATATCAGTCATGCTATGTTGAATTTTCACCTGCTTGATTCACTTATTGGGCTTCCAGAAGCATCATTTTAGCAGGAACACCATGTAACTGTAGGCTGCTTTTGGAGAGTTTAGTTCTAAGGTTTGTGGAGTGGGTGATTAAAGATGACTCTATTGTTATTAAAGTTTATTAAAAGAAAAATAAGACATCCACTTAAAACATCTATGTCTAAGCTTTTCAGAATCACTGTGGGCCATCCAAATAATGTCCCCTCAAATTTTTAAAAATTCTAAGAATGCAAACAAAATCACTAACTACTTACCATTGATTGTAGGTAGTGATATTTGTTTAGGAAAACTTGACAACTCAGAAGATTGCTTCTGCCATGTACACTTGGTGATAAACTGGGGCTCTTGAAAATCAGTGTGCTTATTTAATATATCTTTGCTCATTTCTTGAAACAAAATTTTATGTTTATTTAGCATCATTGATCACAGCTGTGATTTATTTGGTTCTGGGTTCTTACTTAAGATGGAAACCCCCAAGGTATAGAACCATTTTTATGAATGGAAGCATATGTTGCATTGTGTTATTCTTTTCAGGAAAACATGTGGTTACTTCTGAGAACTGCTTGCACTTTCTTATGATGAACTGTTTATTAAATTGGAATTTATTCTTTAGAATTTGATCCACCTAGCCATGAAAAAAATGAATACTGTAAAATCTTTTGCACACCATAGCTTTGGTCATATTACAAGTCAAATTGTATCCTTTTCTTACTCAGGGAAAAATCTCCATTCATAAGGCCACTGTGAGGATTAGCTTCCACCATTAATGTTGTAACAGGATTTTTGTACAGTGATTTCCAAGAAACTTTGAAGTAGCTATTTGCAATAATCTTCTCTGTTTGAAGGCAAGATTCCTTGGTCCTTTCTAACAAACTACTAGTTAGTTCTCTTTGAAACTTAGTGTCAATTTGTTTAGAGGGTGAGGTGGGGATCAGATGAGAGCTAAGAGTGAAGCAGTAGTACTAGTTGATGTGACTAGTATGAATGAGAGGTTTTGTAGTTTTACATGGAATAAGTAAAGGCATCTTTCAAAATTTTGAGTTTTTAAATAACTTTATTGTGTTAAGAACACTTAACATGAGATCTATCTTAATACAATTTAAGTGTATAATTCATCATTGTGGATTGAACCCAGAATCACATGCTGAGCTACATCTCCAGCCCTTTTCTTTTCTGTTTTTTGAGATAGGATCTCATAAAGTCACTAAATTAATGAGGCTTGGCTTGCCTTTGCAATCTTCCAGCCTCAGTCTCCCAAAGTGCTGGAATTACAAGCATACACCACCACACCCTGCTAAAAGTTTTTAATTGTGGTAAAATAGATATAATATAAAATTTACTGTCTCAACAAATTTTTATTTTTATTTATTTTTATCATCGTAGCCATGTCTAAGTATACTATCTTTAGCCATATCTGTTACAAATATTCACTATTGTGCAGCCAATCTTCAGACTTATTTTTATTCTTGCTATTCTGAAATTCTATACCATTAAACAATAACTCTCCAGACTCAAAAGAATGTTTTAAAGATACAGAATGCAAGTGTGTATGAAGGATAAAGAAAGAAAGGTTTTTTTCATCATCCTGTTTTTTCTGTCAGATCTGAAGTGCATTAAGAGTAATAGCAGTTCCTTAATTGGAGCTGAACAGTAGAAAAACTTATTACAGGAACTCTTTGTGGTTTAATTTCTGTTATTTACAGGCTGGCACTAAAAAATTTAATCGAGCCAGACTCCTGAATGTGGGCTATCTTGAAGCTCTCAAGGAGGAGAACTGGGACTGCTTTGTATTCCATGATGTGGACCTGGTGCCTGAGAATGACTTCAACCTTTACGTGTGTGAGGATCAGCCCAAGCACCTGGTGGTAGGCAGGAACAGCACTGGGTACAGGTAAGTCGGCTCGAACACTTGCCCTGTGGTGACCAAGGCTGTGTGGAACATGATGTCCAAATTATCATAGGAAAGTGAGAAGTAGGAAAAAGTGCTCCATTATTTTCTTAAAATGCAAAATAGAAATAAGAAAATATAACAGGGAAGAGAAATCCTATAACAAAATCCTATAACAACCTTGACAGAGGATCACAAAAGGAAAAGAACACAAGAGAGGATATAATCCACACTGCAAATGGTGGCCAGCTCACCCTGCAGTGCCTATGTGGAGGGACTTTTGCAAGCTTTCCCATGTGAGTAAAACCTGCCTAACATATTTGTCTATCCCTAACTTACTGGGGACCCCTAAACCATTACCGGAGGCCTCTACAGTAGGCTCCAGTCTCCTGCTCAGTGTATGACACAAGCCTCAGAAAAAAACTAAAAGATAGAACTAAGAGAGACAGAAAATGGGGCACCAGGATGGCCAATGCTGGTGCAGCTGACAAAGGTGCTGGCCAGTCCAAGCCATTGATTTTTATTGGTAATCAATTGGGATAAAGGTGAGCTATGTGCAAGGGTGAAACTACATATGAGGATGTGCAGTTGTGTGGTTTCTATGGAAATTAATGTAAGCAAGGCCCATAAAGGAAAAAGACAAAGCATTCTCAAATTAGGAACAGAATAGAAAAAATATATAGTTATAATTAGAACATTGTCCTTCTAGTTAAGAAAGTTTTAGTTGTGAGAATAGAATTTGGGTGTGAGTTACTTTGACCTCAGTACGAAGGCTTTGGCTTGACTCAGTTCTCAAAACAAGCCAATTGTGGGATTAATTCTTCACAGCCTGCACTGCTTAGAGCATGCTTTGAGCTCAATCAATATTGCAGTCTCCCGCACTGACTTCCTTTTTGGGAGGTAGAAAGATGGTGTCCCTTAGGCTAACTTTCAGATACAGCACCTCTTTCTTTTCAGACTGCAGCTTCTTTCCAGAGTTCCAGGGAGGTGAAAAGGAGTGTAGCTGTCTGCTAAAATGTCTACTTAGGAGTTAGGATGCCCAGGACAAGTTCTTTTCTCTCAGAACCACCATGGGAAGTGCTAGGTACCACCGTCTTTTTGTGGCTCCCTACCTCTGTGGTGAGGAGAGGATTACCTGCTTTTCAACCTTATCTTATACTAGCTCCTATTTTAGCACAATTGAGAGGAGATGGTGGCTGAGAAAATTTCCCTATAAAGGAAACTGTATTTACATGTGTGTGCACATATACCTGCCAGCTTCCCCCAAGTCCTGCCACACACTGGTAATTGTGATGCTTGGCACCACAGGACCAGAGTGAACAGGCAGAGTGCTTGCCCTGGTGAATGCTGGCATGAGGAGACAGGGAGCTACATGGGAGTTACAGTCACATTGTACCTCTGCAAATTCAACTGTAAGCACTTAGTAAGGTGGGAGGGAAAAGGACAGATGGAGAGATGGAGAGGGTGTATGGAAGAATTCGAGGGAGATCTGTAAGACTACAGTATAATATGGGCAACTCCACCACTATGTATTCTCAGTGAGTATGAAATAAAAACTGATTCTCTTCATGCCTCACTTGGTCCTGGCTTCAATATCACTCTTACAGTGAATAGGTCTCTTACTTTGCACTATTTAAGAGAATTCTTGAATATCATGGACTATGGGTTTTGCCTTGGGTGCTGACTTGAAATCCCTTCCCTGCATAAACAGTGGGGTAGAAACAAATAGACTACCTAGAACAAGCTGTGATGGGTGAGAGCACAATCTCTAAGAACAGCTAAGGAAATGTTTAAAGCTGTTCCTAGGGAAGGTGGCCCCTTAATCTGGTGAAGTCAGTGAGAGCTTTCCAGCAGAGTTCCAGACATGTCAGAGACACGGCCCCTTGCTGGTTCACTGGTATCCTAGAGCAAATGTCTGGGAGAAGCAAGTGATGAGATTATTGGTCTGATGAGAAGTTTGGATTTCCTGTGAAAGGGGGTAGTGAGCTGTTGACACATGGTTCCAGCTGGGGAATGACAGGAGGCATTCAGTTCAGTTGGTCTTTACAGAACAGAATGGAGCAAGCCAGGGGCTGAAGCTGAGGAAATAAATGCCACATGTCTGAGTTAGGGAAGGGACTGCATAAGGGTTTGTGGGGACATCTAGATACAAGCCATAGTAGTATCTTTGTATTAAGCTATGTTGCAGAAATCTCAGAAAGAAATACACGGAGACACAGAATTTGGATAAAATAATAAAATTTTTTCTCGCTAGCGGGCAGGAACACCAGAAACAGGTCTGGTTAGTATCTGTGCTCCCTTTGTTCAGCCGTTTCCCTTTTTATATCCCTTTTAGCCATTATCTCATCCCTAGTGGTTTTTGATATGTAAATACAATTCCAGTTCCTGTGTACAAGTCACTGACACAAGATAGGCACATATACATTATAAATTCACCCTGGCATTGTAACTTTGTTAGGTTAATGAAGTTACTGGTTAAAGAGTCAGATAACCGTCACCTTAAACAAGGAGTTATGGGAAAAGCAAATCTTAAAAGAACACATTATTTTGCTTCTACAACTACCTTAATATTCAATCTATTAAGTTATCTAAAACTTTTCCCTATTGGCTAGACATAAGAAAATTGTGTTCTTGGGCTTTCCTATTGGGAATGTGATTTTAACTTATCCTTTGATGTCACCATCACGGATGCTACATAGTCTGAAGAATAGCCCTTGCACAAATCTTGCTGTTTTAACTTGTTAATGTAACTGGTCTGCCATTTCTTTTATAATGAGATATTAGAAGGTCTGTCTCTCTTGAGTAACTTACAGGCTTTCTTAGAACATGAATCAGGCAATTGAATGTGTCTCATTTTCCAATCTGGATGCAAGAAGTTCTAGGCTGGACCATGACCCTCTCTAGAAACTGAAAAAAATCTTATTAGCAGATCAGAGTGCTAATATATTTCCTACCTTCATCTTCTATTCTGATTTTAAATTTCTCTGGTTCTTGTTTGCCATTTATATGAATCTATTTTCTAGTATATATCATGTAAACTGCCTCAGCTTGTGTGGCTGGGGAGAGGAATGGAAAGTAATGTCAGAGGTGCCCTCTTCCCTTTCTGCTTAATCTTTGCTACAGCAGGCAAAGTCTTGCCCAGGGCTGGCAAGTTCAGGTGCAGGCAACTAATGTCCCCTGCCAGTAACTGTGGACCTGCACCACTACCACGGGGCCCAGGCTTCACCATCACCGCAGCCAGTGGGTATAAGTGCAGGAAATGTTTTCACTTGCCACAAGTGCAGAGAAAAGAAGTTAAAGTAACATGCCACGTGTGTCTAGGGCCTGACCAAACCAGAAATCAGTCTTGATTATTATCAACTATAGATCAGCCATAAAGCTCCGGATAGGCCTGTGCAGGGTTTTCTTAAGTTTCTTTGGCACCGTCTGCTTTCGACAAGGATTCTACTGTTCTTTTATGACTATACCTCACCCTGGGATTGATAGGCCTTTAAAAATACATAAGCCTGATCCAGGGCCAATTAAATATTTATCCCTTTCCAGATAGGAGCAAACCCCAAAAGCAAAGATGGTCAATAAACATAGAGACAGCTGCCACGTACCAGGCAACTGGCAAAGCAAGAGTTCCTTAACTATTAAGTCCCCAGCCTTGTCTCCTGCTCTTCCCCACTCCAGAAAAGCTGGTCTCCAGGGGTTCTCACACAGCCTGAACTTCTCTCCCCCAGTGCTTTTTATCACAAGAGCCTTGGCCACAAGAGATTCCCTATTTTTTTTGCCTCTTTGAATCCTTCCAGGCCGTTTCTCCTGGCATGGTGACAACTCCTTTTTCAACCCTGGGGAGGCTCACCTGTCTTGTTGGATCTTGAACTCCTAGAGAGCAGGGATCACTTATCACAGTGCTCAGCCAGTGGTTTTGTGCATGGCAGATGGTGGTAGCAATGGATCCTCCCCGTGCACTGGTGCTGGTTCTCTATGGAGCTTACTCCTTGGTGCTTGGAAGGTTTTGTCTGGGTACTGGTTCTACTCATGGGATCCAGATGAAACTGCTGTCTTGCGTAGTTAGGAACCCTTCCCAGGCAAGCAGAGTTGATAACAATGGCCATAAGTCACTGCTAGTAGAT